TCTTCCATAAGAGGTGGTGAGCTGGCAGAGTGTTCCCTTGACCTCCGAAACTGGTGTAGAGCGACCCTGGGCAGTGGGAGGATAGCCAAGAACTGTTATGGAGATGCTGTATTTAAACAAACTCAGTAGCTCTTGGAAATGGCAGCTGTTTATTCCAGTTAAAAAGGGCTGCTCCAGGGCTTACAGATAAAATCCTCTGGCTGACCTTGGTCTTAGCAGGAACCCATCAGTGACCCTTCAGGACTTCCTAGTGCCACTAGTTCTCACTTTCATTGTATTTAGCTGTTCAGGAAGTGTCCCTGCTGGGCAAGAAATACTCAGAAATTCAGGCCATGAGGGTTACATTAGCGCAGAGTAATTTTAGGTGAGCTCTCTGTGGCTTTCCACCGCAGGTTTATAGGAAAAACCCCTTCGGAACTTCCCATAGTCTGGTCCTGACCTGAGGGTCTTACAAGAATTTTACAGTAGGCACTTCACAGTGGAAATAGCCTCTGAGAATAAACTTACACATGCTAGTTCCAGCTAAAAATAAGTACTTTTGTTTTTATTCTTGCCTTTACATAGTTTCCAATCAAAATATATTCATTTTATTAATTTACTGAGGACCTGCAAAAAAAATGTGCATACTCTCTGAAACACTGAGCAGTTATTTTTTTGATAGACCTGATTTACAGTTCTTTTATTTTTAAACTGTCTGTCTATTGGCATCACAGACATTCTGTGCTGGAATGGGCCTTATATAATTAGGTGGTTCTGTCATTGTCTAGACAAGGGAACAAATCCATCGGTCCAACGGCTTTTCTAACACACACAGCCAGTTAGGAACAATTCAGAGTAGAGTACAGTTCTCTTTCTCTCCCAGCCCATTGTTCTGCTTCTGTTTCCCTTTTCCTCATAGTCGAGTAGCTCTTGGAAAAACATGTTTCTTGTAGCAGTTGTTCAAGTGGATGTTATGAGATGGTATCAGAGAATAAAGTGTGCATGGGGGAGGGGACGCCAAGGTCAATTAAAATTGAGAAATGCTGAGTTTGTTTTCTTCCTGTAGGACTTCTCGGAGTTTTTGACGTGCTAGTAGTCTATATTGTGAATTTATGAGAGCGGACAAAGACTGTTCACTTAGACTTATTTGACCTTTAAACTGCGGCCCCATCCTTCTTTTTCTCAGAGCATCTCAAAGTAGTACTGGTCCTTTGGGAAACATAGCTCTACAGTAAGTTTACAGCTTTTGTAGAAGACATCCTTAGTGGAATTTCTGAAAGGTAAATCTGTTACCGTGGTACCCTGTAATCGTAACAAATCTCAAAGTTTACTGAGAACACTAGAAAGAAAACACATTTGCCCTTCGGAGCTATATGAAAAGTATAAGGAGTCTTACCACCTATGGTGCATAAAATCAGTATTTGTGTTTAGTTTTGCAAGTTTTTCAAGGATCAGTTAATGTGCAGATATAGTGGTGATATATTGGTATTACATTTTAATAATGCTTTTTTGTGTGGCACTTTATCGTTTTCAGGTTGCTTTCATAACAACCCTGTGAGAAAGGCAGGTGTTGAGTATTATCAGATGAGGCACTGGAGGCTCAGAAAGGTTTTTGTGATACCCCCCCCCCCCGATGTTTATGACACAAAGTAATGGAGCCAGAATTCAGTTTCAGAATTTCTGACTCCAAGTCCAGAGTTATTTGCACCTGGTTTCTTGTTTTCCTTCTAGCTTTATATTTTACACTGAAAGGTGTGGAAGCAATTCTTAAAGTAACATCATTTTGGCTTATTATCAAACACTGTTTCTTCTTTATTGCAGTGACTCAGAATTTAAGGAGTATTACAGCTGTCCCAAAGAAAACCCTCCTTTTGTCCCTTGCACTGCCAATTTGTTTAGGTGACTGGAGTGTATAACAGGCACCATTTGATTTTGAAACCAAGATTGGATATGTAATTGTGATTGCTTATGTAGTTTTGGAAAATGTACCATCTCTGCATTCTCAGGCAAAGTGGAGATGAGATGGTGTGAAAATAAAAAAAGAATATTCAAATACAATACACCTTTGTTCTCTCACAAATGCTGTTTCTTAGCTTTAACTTGCTTTGACAACCTACTGATGTAAGTACTTTGTAAATGTAAAATATTTATATTTTGAAATAAAATAACTGGTGTTGAATGAATCAGGTGGTAAACTTAGTCTCATTTATGTTGAGAAATTTGATCTTTAGTAAAATCACAAATACATTGTCACTTGGGTCTTAAACTTCTCCTTCGGCACCAGTGCTTGCACTGAAGTTTTATGAAATAAGGGCGACTTACAAAAGGAAGATGTCTGTGAGGTGTGGATGCTCAGCACCTTAAAGAGGTAAAAGGATCCAAGCTGAGGTTGGAGCCCTCAGTACCCAGGATAAGGTGGCCTTAAGCTGGGTGGATAGGGAAATGATGAGGTGGATGGCTGAGGAGTAAGAAATCAGAGGGGGGAAGGTTGTATATAGGAACTGTACCTTTTGAATGAACAAAATTAGCCCACGTTATGGCTTTATTCAATACCAGAGACACAGGTGCAGCCCTGGCACCTACGCCCAGCAGCTCCAGCCGGCAGACGGCCGAACCCACGGTGGAAGTCCTGTGAAACTCGTTTCAGTGATGCTTGTGGAAGAGCTGGCTGACACCTGGAGTTGGCGGTGTACAGCCCATCAACCTGACATTATGGATGGAGAAAGGAACCTGGCTGAGGTGTGAGGGTGGACTAGCCAGTCACACAGTTTTTCTACTCTCACGGTTTCTGGTTGGTAGATGATGCCTGTTCCCAAAGCATTTCTTCATGCATCTCAGTCCGTTGCATGAGGCTAGACCTGCAGAGGGAGTGTGCTCCTGACAACCTCCTTCGGCTTTGCCCTGGAATCCGCAGGCGAGGGTATTCAGCTCCCCCATGCCAATCCCGCAGGGGCTCTGTGCTTCTCAGCCTCACCCTTACCGAGTTTAGTCAGAAGTGAACACTAATGGTCTGTTCAGGCAATGAACAGCTGCTAAGAGACTGTTCTGTGCTAAGCACCAGGGGAAAAATAATTTTGAAAAGTGGTTTCAAAAAGTAAATAGTATTGAACTGTAGGTGTAGCTTTTCCATAAGCTCTATTTAATTTCCTTTTCAAGAGTAATTCCGAACAATAGCCTGAAAGATACCCAATACTCCTTAATTGCATAATCAAATATTTCATCTTCAATCCAGCTCCAAGTATTGTGAGAAAGGTACAGTCGCAAAAGGAGCCGCGTGGCGGGGAAATGGGATCTCAGAGGCGCTATCACCAGTGGAATTCCCGCCGCAGGGCAAACGCCCTCCCTTGAGACTGGACCCTGGTTCTGCCCTCCCAGCTAGTTTCAGCCCCAGCGCAGCTTCTGCAAATGGTCGCTGAATGGGAGTTAGAACGAGTCATCGATCCCAGGACCCCAGGACGAGCAGCTTTGCTGGGGACGCTGGTCCTTGTCGTGGTCAGAGGCCGCGGGAGGCCCTCGGGTGACCTGTTGATTCCAGTGGGGCGAGACGTGCGTGGGAACCACTGAAGAGTGGTCTCAGGAGACAGACGGGGCGGGGCCCGGGCTAGGGGCGGGGCTTCGGGGCGAACCCCAGACAAAAGCGCGTT